AAGTTTGCCCGCCGCGTGTCAAAACCACACAACGAGAAAAAAATACAAAAAAACACTCTTTTGCATTCGACGTGGCAACGCCGCGGAGGAAGACACCAACATCTACTCGGCACGTGGCTCCAACGCGGACGAGGACAAGGACGACGACGTCGACGACGACACGAGCGACGACGACGACGACGATGACGACGACAACGACAGCGCCGACGACACGACGACAACGACGACGACGAGGACGACGGCGACGACGACTACGACGGCGGCGGCGAAGACGAAGACGACGACGACGACGACCACAACGACGACGACGGACGATGACGACAATGACGATGACGCCGACGACTACGACGACGACGACGACCAAAATGACGACGACGACGACGACAACGACGACGACGACAACCACGACGACGACAACGACGACGACGACGACGACGACGACGACGACGACGACGACGACGACGACGCGGCCGCTGCCCGCCCGCCCGCCCGCCCGCCGCCCGTCCGCCCGCCCGCCCGCCCAGCCACCCGCCCGCCCGCCCGCCCAGCCACCCGCCCGCGGGCCCGCCTTCTTGCCTGCCCGCCTGCACGCCCGCCCGCCGGCCCGCGCGCCCGCCCGCCCGCCCGCACGCTCGCCCACCCGCCCGGTCGCCCACCCGCTGGCCCGCAGGCCCGCTACCCCTCCGTCACCCTCCTCCATCACTCGCTCCTCCAAGGCGACCAACCGAGCCAGAGCGACCAGGCACGCGGCAGGAAAACTCCTTCCCCATCACCCTCCCCCGCCGCCACTGAGCCGTCCAATTTCCTTCCTCCTCCCCTTCCGCATCCCCCCCCCTTCCACCACTGGTGCCGACGAGTCCTCATTCCCAGGTAGTACCCTCAGAACTATATCCCTCTTCCTGCTCGCTCCTCCTCCTCCTCCTCCTCCTCCTCCTTCTGCCCACCTAAAGCTCCTCCTCCTCCTCCACCTCCTCCTCCACCTCCATCCTCCTCCCTCCTCCTTCTCTCCTACTCCTCCTCTTCCTCTTCCCCTTCCTCTCCTCCTCCTCATCCTCCCTCCTCCTCCTCTACCTCGCTCTCCACCCTCCTCCTCCCCCTCCCTCCTGGGGATGTACGCCGCGAAACCTTGCATCACTTCGTTGTTGTTGACGCAGTCGCACAATAATTACTTTGCATTGCATTGCACTGCGTTGAGCACCCTTCCTCCCCTTACTCGTTCGTCCTCCAACTCTCCTCCTCGCTCGTACCCGTCCTCCTCGTCCTCTTTCCGATCCTCCCACCTCTCCCTCCTCCTCCTCGTCATCCTCGCCCACCTTGCTTGTCATCCCACGCCTCCCACCCTCATGTCCTCCCTCCTCCCTTTTCCCTCTTCCCTGCTCCTCCTGATTCCTGCCTCGTCTCGATAGTCCTCCTGCCCATGCCTCCTGCCTCCTCCCTCTCTCCTCCCCCGCCTCCATCCCCTCCTGTTCCTCCTCCTCTTCCTCCTCCTCCTCATCATCCTCCTCCCCCTCCCCTCCTCCTCCCTCCTCTCCTCCTCCTCTCCTCCCCTCCTCCTCCTACTCCACCACCTCCTCCTCCTCCTCCTCCTCCCCTCCCCCTCCCCTCCTCCTTGCTCCTCCTCCTCCTCCTCCTCCTCCTCCTCACTCCCCCGCACTCCTCCTCCTCCTCCTCCTGCTCCGACCTCCCTCCTCCCTCATGCCTCCTGCCTCCTGCCTCCTGCCCCACCTCTCTCCTCGCTCCTCCCTCCTCCTCTCGCCCCTCGACTCGGCACACAGTCAAGCCTGCGGGGCGGGCATTACAAACTGTTCCACTTTACTCGCCACGTGGCAAACTGCTACTCTACTCTCCTCGCGACGTGGCAGCGCCTGCGGGACGGAAAGCAACGCCGAGGGAGCGAAACAGATACTGCTCCAATCTCCTCGCCACGTGAGAACGCACGGATGAGGAAACAACTACTACTACTCCACTGTACTCGCCACGTGGCAAACGCCTGGAGGGCGAAACATATGCCACTCTACTCTCCTCGCGAAGTGGCAGCGCCTGCGGGACGGAAAACAACGCCGGGGGAGCAAAACAAATACTGTTCCAATCTCCTCGCCACGTGAGAACGCTCGGAAAGGGGGAAACAACTACTACTCCACTGTACTCGCCACGTGGCAGCGCCTGCGGAGCGAACGCCCGCGCGCCCGCCTGCCCGCCAGCGCGCGGGCGCGCGCGCCCGCCGCCCGCCCACCCGCCTGCCAGCCCGCCCGCCCACGCGCCCGCCCGCCCGCCCGCCCGCCCGCCCCAACCTCCCACGCGTCCAAGCCGAACCACCCAAAATTTCGGATCACACCTCCCTGCGGTTTCGGGTCTACCCCTTCTCATGATTGCGGGTTTAACCCAATCGAATTTTGGGGTTTCGTCCCACCGCGGGTTTCGGGTTTACCAATCCCTGTTTCGGGTTTGGCGGCGATTTCTGGGTTCAAGCTTCTTCCGCTTTTCCGACGCCCTCCCAGCTTCGAAGAATCTTCTTCCCAGACCCCCTCGCGTTGCGAAAAAAACACGACGGGACGTTTCCCCTGTTTTTCGGCCCCTCGGGGCCTGTGTACCGCGCCTCGGGATCTCGTCAAACACCGACTCAGGATAAAGAACTGGTGCCAGGGAAGGAGTCCAGGCCTCTTGGCGCCGACGCTGCGAAAGAATCACGACGTCGGGGGTCCCTGTTAGGGGTATCCCGGCCTTTCTGAGAAGGCCCCCGCCTTCTCTCCAAGAGACCCGCCGCTATCTTTAGGAGGTTGGGCATGTCCCCTTTACAAGCGGATTTTTGAAGAAAAATGAAAAATAGAGAAGACAGATTCCCAAGTCGCCAAAAATAGCGGAACAACGGTCCCCAGACTGTTGTTTTACTATTTTTGAGTCTTACTCCTGTACAGGGACATGCCCGATTTAACGCTATCTTCGAAGCCCACCCCCCTCGCGCCACCCCCTCGCGGGCGCCGCCAAGGCATGGGCCCCCAAACGTCTCGACCCATTCCCCCGGCGACCAGCGCTTCGTCCCGAGCCGTCTTTTGCTGGCCCTGGTGCCCGGCGAGGGATCCTGGAGGCCGACAGTGGCCCGAAGCCTCCCGCCGCGATTGGGGCCACGACGCGAGGAGGTCTGGGCCTGGCCCAGAGGGCGTTTCTCCTCAGACCCGAGCGAATTCCCTTGCGTGTCATCTCCCCCCTCCCACCCCGCCGCCTTCTCAACAGATGCTGGGCCGAGAGACGGAACGCAAGTGAGCCCCAACTTGCGTGAAGTCCAGATTGCCTTTCGGGCCTCCCCGCGCCCCCCCCCACCCCACCCTCCATGCAAGGGAACTTGCCAGACTTCGGTCGGGCATGTCCCCCATACAGGCGGATTTGGGGCGAAAAACCTTCAAACAAATCACAAAAAAAAACATATAGATGCAAAAATAGCAAAACAGTGCTCAAAAAATCGTCCCCTGATTAATTTGAAAGCTATTTGTTTTGAACATCTTTCCTGGAGAGGGACAGGCCAGACTTAATGCCAGACATTTATCAAACCTACCTCTCTTTTGCTGGCCCCATGTGCGCGGCGAGAGTCTCCGGGGGCCGAATATGGCCCAAGACTTGCCGCCGCGGATGTTCCCAGACCCCGACGTCACGTGTTTTTGTTCAACGCCGACTCCAAGACGCCTGGACCCCCCCCGGGGACTGGTTCTCCGTCCTCCTGGATCACTGTTTGACGGCCCAAAAACCTCCCGCCGTGCTGTTTGTGTATAAGTTGTTGTGTGTATACATATGTATATATATATACATAGATATGCATGTATGCATGTACAGATGCATGTACCTATATCTACGCGTACGTGTATATATATATATATGTATACAAATACATATATATATACACACGCGCACATGTGTGTACATCAGTATACATGTACAAGCGCACTGAAATGAGCATGTGCACAGACATGTACATGTGCAACTCCATATACAAAGACATGGCCATGGACATGTAAATAGACAGATGCATGCGTATCAACATATACATATACAAGTACGGTTACATGTGCCTATAATTATACATATATAAACACAACTACGTATGCGTATGCATATACATGCATATGCACATGTACATATACATGCGCATGTGCATATGCATGTTCGTGCACGTATGCATCTACGCATACATATATACAACTGTGTTGTTTGATTGGTGCCGTATGTTTGTTGCACTAATACTTATGCCACTTCAATATACGAGCATCTGCACATTTGAATACTACTAGTACTACTACTACTACTACTACTACTACTACTACTACTACTACTACTACGCCTACTACTACTACTCCTACTACTACTACTACTACTACTACTACTGCTACTACTACTACTACTACTACTACTATGACGACGACGACGACGACGACTACTACTACTACTACTACCACTACTACTACCACTACTACTACTACTACTACTACTACTACTACTACTACTACTACTACTACTACTACTACTACTTCTACTACTACTACTACTATTACTAATACTACTACTACTACTACTACTACTACTACTACTACTACTACTACTACTACTACTACTACTACTACTACTACTACTACTACTACTACTACTACTACTACTACTACTACTACTACTACTACTACTACTACTACTACACTACTACTACACTACTACTACACTACCTACTACTACCTACTACGACCTACTACTACTACTACTACTACTACTACTGCTACTACTACTACTACTACTACTACTACTACTACTACTACTACTACTACTACTACTACTACTACTACTACTACTACTACTACTACTACTACTACTACTACTACTACTACTACTACTACTACTACTACTACAACAACAACTACTACTACTACAACAACTACTACTATCTACTACTACTACGACTACTACTACGACTACTACTACTACTGCTACGACTACTACTACTACTACTACTGCTACTACTACTACTACTACTACCACTACTACTACTACTACTACTACTACTACTACTACTACTCCCAGCACGGCGGCACGCCCAGGTCACTTCGAGCCGGTGGCCCGGAAGCTGGGGCCGAAGACGGGCCTGGTGGGCTCGTTTTCCACCGCCCGCCCCAACCACAAGTAGGAGGGGCAGGGGGTCCTCCTCCTGCTCCTCCTCTCCTCCTCCTCCTCCTCCTGCTCCTCCTCCTCCTCCTCCTCCTCCTCCTCCTCCTCCCTCTCCCCCTCATCCTCCCCCCCGTCCCCCTTCTTCTTCTCCTCCTCCTCCTCCTCCTCCTCCTCCTCCTCCTCCTCCTCCTCCTCCAAGCCCTTGCGCCTGTGCTGGCGCCCCCCTCGCCCCTCGGCCGTGCGCGCGCGTGTGGGCGGGGCGTTTTTCGCGCGGTCAGGCAGCCATCGTGCGGCGTAACTCGTAAGGGCGCTGCTGCACGGAGCTGCGCCCTGGAGGCGGGGGAAGGCGGCGACGGTGACGGCAGCTGTGACCGCGGCCATGGCGCGGCCTGCGCCAAGGCCGGCAGTGGCAGCGCCTCGGCCTTCTCAGGCGCCACTGTTGGCGATTGCGAACGGGGTGATGGCGGACCTGGCGGCCATGTCCATCATGGCAGCCCCGCTCTCTCCGCCGCCTGGCTGCTGGGGCCCGCGCCTCCGCCGTTGGGAACGCCACCGTGCGGCAACGCCAGCGGCGCGTCTGCGCTCTCGGAGTCGTTCGGCGGCGCAGGGCAGCCAGGTCAAGCAGCTCGTGAAGAAGGACGATATGCCGTCGGAGTGGGTGGGTGCCAACCCCATGGGCGGCAAGCAGCTGAAGGAGAAGAAGAAGAAGAAAGAGAAGAAGGAGCGGCATCGCAGCCGGCGCAGGAGGAGTCGTTCGGGGTCAAGGGCGCTGGTGGTCGACTGAAGGTGGTCGACTTCGACATCTTCAGCGAAGGCAGCGTCGAGGACGAGTACCAGGAGGAGGACGACTGGGCCAAGTGGCACCTCGGAGTGCAAGTTGCACCCTCGGCCACGGGCATTGAGTTCGTTCGTGCGCTCAACCTGCAGGCCTTCCACAGGGCCAAAAAAGCGCGCGATGAGAGGTACGCCGAGTGGCGCCCGCAGTCGGATGAGATCGAGGAGATCATCGAGTCCGACGGCCACGGCGGCAAGAAGAAGGCCAAGACCAGGGAGAAGTTCGGGGGCGACGACGGCATCTCAGAGGAGAAGGCCGTGGCCTTCGACGGGGACGACAGCAAGAGCCTGATGGAGATCAGCGAGTCCGACGGCCACGTCGGCAAGAAGAAGGCCAAGTCCAAGGAGAAGTTCGAGGGCGCCGACGGCATCTCAGAGGAGAAGGCCGTGGCCTTCGACGGGGACGACATCAAGAGCCTGATGGAGCACGCGCTCGGCGAGTGCTGCATGGTGGTGGTGGACAAGGGTGGGAATCGTGCCGCCTTCATGCCCTGCATGCAGGAGCAGGCCGAGTTCGAAGGCCCGGGCGTCGACGCGGGCGCCATCGCTGGCTGGTGGAGCCCGGCTTCCTCGGCATCTTCGTGGGGCTGGCGGCAGTCGGTCAGGTGCCCGTCGTCGGGCCCGTCGTCGCGATGGGCCTGCGGGACGGGCTATACTTTCAGGTCTGGTGGGGGCTGGGCGGGGCTCTCTCCCTCGGGTCGTCCACCCAGGCCTGGTGGGGGGGGCGCCTGTGGGCCTCCGTCGGGTGCTGGGCCTCCCTGGACTGGCTGGTTTTGCCGGAATCGTCTGGGCCTCGTGGGGCGCTGGCTGGACGGCTGGGTGACAGCCCCGCCTTGGCGCCGTGGTCTGCGGCCGACGTGCCTAGCGAGCGGGAGCACCCGCTCGAGGTGGCCTCAGCAGTCTCAGGAGCCTCCTCCTCCTCCTCCTCCTCCTCCTCCTCCTCCTCCTCCTCCTCCTCCTCCTCCTCCCCCCCTCCTCCTCCTCCCCCCTCCTCCCTCCTCCTCCTCCTCCTCCTCCTCCACCCTCCTCCTCCTCCTCCTCCTCCTCCTCCTCCTCCTCCTCCTCCTCCTCCACCTCCCTCCTCCTCCTCCTCCTCCTCCTCCTCCTCCTCCTCCTCCCTCCTCCTCCTCCCTCCTCCCCTCCTCCTCCTCCTCCTCCCTCCCCCCATCCAACTTCTGGTGGTGGTGGAGAACAGGCCCAAGACGGGCCTCGCGGAGAAGGCCGCCCGGCTGTTGTGGGAGGTCAGCTGCAGCGCGTAGGTGCCGGGCGCCAGGCTCGGGGCCGGCAGCTCCTGCACCGCCACGACCCACACAGTCAACCGGTATAATAGGGATGCGCGGTAAGGACCCAGACCGTCCAAGAAGCCTCCAAGACGTCCCAGCCCCCCTCCAAGAGACCCCCAGGAAGCCCCAAGAGGCCCCCACGAGGCTTCCAAGCGGCCCCTGAGAGCTTCCCAAGAGGCCCACAAACTACCCCCAAGAGGCCCCCAAGAGCGCTCGTCGTCGTCGTCGTCGTCGTCGTCGCCATTCAGGGTCGGCGGCACCGGCCGTAAGGCCTTCGCAATAGGGATGCGCGGTAAGGACCCAGACATCACCGCGTCGTGAAAAAAGCAGGACGGGAGGTCTTTGGCCAGTTTCGGCCTCGGGTGGCCCTCGCTGGGCCTCGGGGTCCTCAAAAAAACGACTCGGGATGAAAAACTGATCTCGGGGAAAGGGTCGGGACATCCGGGGACGCCGTCCTGAAAAATTATCCTGGCGAAGGACCCAACCATATGCAATTGTGAATACCGCAATTGTGAATATCTTCTTCGGTGGCGCTCCCTATGGGGCCACGAAAAGTGTGAGGGGTGTGCCGAAATGGGTGCGCGGGACGCGCGCGGGCACACCCACTGGGGCCTTCGGTGGAGCTCCCTATGGGGCCACGAAGCATGTGAGGGGTGTGCCGAAATGGGTGTGCGGGACGCATGCGGGCACACCCACTGGGACCTTCGGTGGAGCCCCCTACGGGGCCACGAAACGTGCGAGGGGTGCGCCGAAATGGGTGTGCGGGACGCATGCGGGCACACCCACTGGGGCCTTCGGTGGAGCTCCCTATGGGGCCACGAAACGTGTGAGGGTCACGAAACCGTGAGGGGTGTGCCGAGATGGGTGTGCGGGACGCATGCGGGCACACCCACTAGGGCCTTCGGTGGAGCTCCCTATGGGGCCACGAAAACGTGTGAAGAGCATGCCGAAATGGGTGTGCGGGACGCATGCGGGCACACCCACTGGGACCTTCGGCGGAGCTCCCTATGGGGCCACGAAAACGCGTGAGGGGTGTGCCGAATTTGGGTGTGCGGGACGCATGCGGGCGGCAGCACTGGGGCCTTCGGTGGAGCTCCATGGGGCCCACGAAGCGTTGTAAGGGGTGTGCCGACATGAATGTGCGGGACGCATGCGGGCACACCCAACGGGACCTTCGGTGGAGCTCCCTTATGGGGCCACGAAACGTGTGAGGGGTGTGCCGAATTGGGTGTGCGTGACGCATGCGGGCGGCAGCACTGGGGCCTTCGGCGGAGCTCCCTATGGGGCCACGAAACGTGTGAGGGGTGTGCCGATTTGGGTGTGCGTGACGCATGCGGGCGGCAGCACTGGGGCCTTCGGCTGAGCTCCTATGGGGCCACGAAACGTGTGAGGGTGTGCCGAATTGGGTGTGCGTGACGCATGCGGGCGGCAGCACTGGGGCCTTCGGCGGAGCTCCCTATGGGGTGTGTGTGTGAATGACACGCATGCGGGCGGCAGCACTGGGGCCTTCGGCGGAGCCCTTATGGGGGCCACGAAACGTGTGAGGGGTGTGCAGAATTGGGTGTGCGTGACGCATGCGGGCGGCAGCACTGGGGCCTTCGGCGGAGCCCCCTTATGGGGCCACGAAACGTGTGAGGGGTGTGCCGAATTGGGTGTGCGTGACGCATGCGGGCGGCAGCATTGGGGCCTTCGGTGGAGCAGCCTATGGGACCACGAACGTGTGAGGGGTGTGCCGAATTGGGTGTGCGTGACGCATGCGGGCGGCAGCACTGGGGCCTTCGGCGGAGCTCCCTATGGGGCCACGAAGCGTGAGAGGGGTGTGCCGGATTGGGTGTGGTTGACGCATGCGGGCGGCAGCACTGGGGCCTTCGGCGGAGCTCCTATGGGGCCACGAAACGTGTGAGGGGTGTGCCGAATTGTGTGTGGGTGACGCATGCGGGCGGCAGCACTGGGGCCTTCGGCGGAGCTCCTATGGGGCCACGAAACGTGTGAGGGGTGTGCCGAATTGGATGTGGGTGACGCATGCGGGCGGCAGCATTGGGGCTGGGTGTCCCGTAAGCCAGCTGGGTGTGAGGGGTGTGCCGAAATGGTGTGTGTGGTGAATTGGGTGTGGGTGACGCATGCGGGCGGCAGCACTGGGGCCTTCGGCGGAGCTCCTAAGGGGCCACGAAACGTGTGAGGGGTGTGCCGAATTGGGTGTGGGTGACGCATGCGGGCGGCAGCACTGGGGCCTTCGGCGGAGCTCCTATGGGGCCACGAAGCGTGTGAGGGGTGTGCCGAATTGGGTGTGGGTGACGCATGCGGGCGGCAGCACTGGGGCCTTCGGCGGAGCTCCTATGGGGCCACGAAACGCGTGAGGGGTGTGCCGAATTGGGTGTGGGTGACGCATGCTGGCGGCAGCACTGGAGCCTTCGGCGGAGCTCCTATGGGGCCACGAAACGTGTGAGGGGTGTGCCGAAGTGGATGTGGGTGACGCATGCGGGCGGCAGCACTGGAGCCTTCGGCGGACCTCCCTATGGGGCCACGAAACGTGTGAGGGGTGTGCCGAATTGGATGTGGGTTACGCATGCGGGCGGCAGCACTGGGGCCTTCGGCGGAGCTCCTATGGGGCTACGAAACGCTGTACTGGGTGGGTGAAACGCAGGGAAGAGGGGGAGGAGGGAGGAGGAGGGGGAGGAGGAGGAGAGGTGAGGAGAGGAGAGGAGAGGACAGGAGAGGACAGGAGGACGCGGGGACCGTTTCTTCAAAACGAGGACCCAACACCACAGGATGGTTGGGAAAAATCAGGACGTCGCATGTCTGAGGATGCAAGGGCCTTGGAGGGTCATGTTAACGTCTTTCGAACGAGGCTGGCCAGTGAAAGTCGCTAAGGTTGGGCCGAAGGGGCCGGCTGCTCCTGCACAGGAGCCCGGAAAAGCAGCAGTCCGAGAAGCGCGTGAAGTGCCTGAGGTGCACACTGGTGATGACGCTGGAAGCCCAGATCCCCTCGGGCAATGAAAATAACACGACGGAGCTTTGTCCATATTTTCGGCCTCTGGAGGCCCTGCCCGGCCCTCGGGACCGTCAGGATGAGAAACCGTTCCTGGTGAATGGGTCGAGACCTCGTGGGTCTGGGGGGCTTGCAAGCTTCCGAAAGGGAACTGCGCAGGACCTCCCACGGAGCTTCGAAGGAGCTGCGGGAAAGGCCTCCTGCACGCGTCTTGGGGACGAGTGGGAAAACGCTTGCCAGGACCCGCTGGAAGCTCAAGCAACTCGCTGCAAGGCTGCCTGACCGGGAGCCTTGGAGAGGGGCTGGCGTAACCCTGCCTGCTGGCTTCTGTCTCCGAAAGATACGATGTGTTCACGCCGAGCGCTTTCCGCGATGTCAGCCTCCAGGGACCATTATCGGACCTCGGGACCATCAAAACTGGATCCAGGGCGACAGCTGGACCTGGGGAAGGGGTCGGGACCTCTGGGGCCGCGCATTGAAGAAGACGCATCAGCGGACGCCTGGTGACGCGTCCAGGGCCCAGACCCACTCGAGTCATGAAGAACACAGCTGGGGGGGGGTTGTGCAATTGTCGGCCTCCCAGGGCCCTCGCCGGGCCCAGCGACCGTGGAAAATGACCCGGGATGAATAAGCGGTCTCAGAGAAAGGGTCCAGACCTTCCTCTGATGGTCGACGTTGCGCAAACGTCCCCACGTCGGAGAGCTGGGGAGGAGGACCCTGACCTTCCAGAGTGCCAAGGAATAGCCCTGCCAAAACCTCGGCAGGAATTCGGATGTCGAGGTCATGGTGCTACTGTTTACTTGGATCGCCGCGGGGGGTGCTAAGAGGATAGGGGGATACAAGTGGATGCTACGGTGGGCTCTATCCAGCCTAACCCAACTTAGAAGTGGGTCGCACGTGACCTAAGTGGCTTAAGGGCGTACAGATCACCCACCTCCTCACCATCCTAAGCCGCAGAGGGCACCTGTAACCCACTTACAGGGTGGGTCCGGCAAAATAAAACCAACTTTTGCATCCACTTCTACCCCCCCTCCCCCCCGTCCACTTAGCAACCACCGCGGGCGATCCAAATACAGGACAGGAGGAGGAGGAGGAGGAGGAGGAGCAGGAGGAGGAGGACGAGGAGGAGGAGGAAAGGAGGAGGAAAAGGAGGAGAAGGAGGAGGAGGAGGAGGAGGAGAAGAAGGGGGGGGACGGGGAGGAGGGGGAGGAGGAGGAGCAGGAGAAAAAACGGGAGAAGGATTTGGAGGAGGAGGAGAGGATGAGGATGAGGATGAGGATGTACAGGAGGAGGAGGAGGAGGAGGAGGAGGAGGAGGAGGAGGAGGAGGAGGAGGAGTTGGGGCAAGAGGGCCTCGGCGGGCCTTCCGACCGTCAAAAACAGCATGGAGAACCGTTCCCTGCGAAGGGGTCTAGACCATTGGAGGTCCGCGCTGCCCAACACCTGGGCGACGATTCCAAACGGGTCTTACGCGAAATGACGCAGCGACCTCTACGCGGGGGCTTGCGCAGGCCGGCGGCGCGGCACGCCACAGTGGAGACGAGAGCGTCCACGCGCGAGCTCTCGCGGGCAGCTTACGCTCCAGCGTCGGCACAGTTGCGTCCCGTTTTGCTTCGTCGCCCAGGAGGAGGAGGAGGAGGAGGAGGAGGAGGAAGAGGAGGAGGAACGAGGAGGAGGAAGAGGAGCAGGAGGAGGAGGAGCAGGGGGAGGAGTAGGAGGAACGAGGTGGAAGGAGAAGGGGAGGAGGAGGAGGAGGAGGAAGAGGAGGAGGAGGAGGAGGAGGAGGAGCCCAGCGTGAGCAGGGGGTTCGTCAGCAACTATGCCCCAACCACTGGGGGCAGAGGCGGAGTACCTCCAACCTCATTCACAATAAAAACATCAGATACGGAGAGCTGTGGCGGCCGATGCCGCGGCTGGTGGGGGGAGGGGAGGACAGGCGAGACGGCAGAGGGCAGCAGCAAGGCAGCCTCGAGAGGAGGAGGGAGCGAAGATGAGCGCGCGGGGCGCCAGGGCGGTGCCT